CAGCTGCTTTTTTTTTTTACACAAATTGAAGATTTGATGCAACTCTGCTTCAACCAAATCTATAGGCACCATTTTTCCAACAGCATGTGCTCACATCGTGTTTCTATGTCCCATTTTGGTCATTCTCACAATATTTCAAACTTTTTCATCGTTTTTATATCTGTTATGGAGACCTGTGATGAGTGATCTTTGATGTTACTATTGTAATTGGGGGGGGGCACCAAAAACTACTCATATAAGATGGTCAATTTAATCGATAAATGACGTGTGTCTTTTCAATATTGCTGTGTCTCAGGGAATAGGGAAGCCCTTCCCCGTCTTCCTTCCCTTGGGCTTCCCTATTCCCTGAGACACAACAATATTGAAATTAGGACAGTTAATAATCCTGCAAGGGCCTCTAAGTGTTCAGGTGATGGGAAGAGTCCATGGATGTGGCTGCTTGACTTTAAGAAATTGCCACAGATACCCCCAACCACTCTGACCAGTCAACAGCCATCCACAGCAGGTCAGGACCCTCCACCAAGCTCAAAGTTTACGCCTCTCCAAGGCTCATGATGCTTAGCATTTTTTTTTTTGTTTTAGCAATAAAGCATTTTTTAGTTAAGGTATATATGGGGTTTTTTAGACATAATACACACATTTTGGACAATAATATACACATATTGCACCTTTAATAGACTTGCAGTTTAGTGTAAACATAACTTTTATATGCCCTGGGAAACAAAAAAATTCTTGTAACTCCCTTTATTGCAATATTCGCTTATTGTGCTGGTCTGGAACTGAAGCCATAATATCTCTGAGGTATGCCTGTATGTACAAACAAGAAATATATGCAGTAAATTGGAGTCTGCCTCAGAGCGCAGAAGGCATTATAATCCGATGGCACAGAGCAAGGCTCTCCTTCCTTACTGGCAGGTCGGACCTCAGTCCTCTGCCTAGGCAGCCAGGCCTGCCCTCACTTGGACCGGACAGTCCTCTGGGCTGAGGGCTCTTCTCTGTGACGGAGCCTGGACATTTTTCCATCCCCTCTAAAGGGCCTTTACCCCGGTCACTGCAGCTGGTGTATGGTATGGTCTGAATGGAAGCAGTAGGGCTTCGCTTTTTGCGAATGATGGGTGTGGAGTCCGGAAGACCCGAGTTCAAATGTGACCTCAGACTCTAGCTGTGTGACCCTGGGCAGGTCACTTAACCTCTGTCTGCCTCAGTTTCCTCAAATGGGAACAATAATAGCACCTACTTCCCAGGGTTCTCTTGAGGATGCAATGAGATCATTTTTGTAAAGCTCTTAACACAGTGCCTGGCAAACAGTGGGCGCTTAATAAATGCTTATTTCCCTCCCCGACTCTTCCTTTTATACAAGTAGCCTCCCCAAGGATATGGGGGTCAGTGGCAGAGCTGAGATTCAATCCCAGGGTCTTGGGATCCAAGTCAAGTGTGTTTTCCACTCCTAGGTACCTCATCCCCTAAGCCTGCCAAGTCTCCCTCCGGAGCTGGGAAGGAACTGGCCTTGATTGGTTTAATCATGCACCACCCCCTCCCTTCCCTCACTCTGAACGTTTCCAATCAGCGGCAGCCCTCCAGGTGATGAAATAGCAATGCAGATGATCTTGGCCTTATGCAAATGAGCGTCCTGGGGTGCTGCTCCTGACCCAGCAGTGGCACCCCCTCCCCTCGGGTCTGAGCTGCTCTCTGACTTTGGGGGGAGGGCGGAGCTCCTCTTCCTGCCATTTCTCCCTGAGATTCCTCAGGAGCCATTGTTGGCCTGGGAGTTCTTCTGAGGTCCTCCTGATGCCTCCTTCTGTAAACGGCTTCCTGTGACTTTTCTGGGGCTTGCGTTAAAAAGCCATGGTAGTGGCTAGGAGGCTGGAGGCCAGAAGACCTGGGTTTGAATTCCATCTCAGACATTAGGGGGTATGCGTGTGTGTGTGTGTGTGTGTGTGTGTGTATATGAGAGAGTGCGCGAGCGCACACGCTGGAGAGGGAAGGAGTTATCTTCTCTGACCCTCAGCTTCTTTATCTGCAGGATGTACACAATGCCAATAGTACCTGCCTCAGACACTATTTTTCAGCCCTGCTCAAGTCTTTGAACTGTTCTAAGCCTCAGTTTCCTCATCTGTAAAATGGGAGTGTTAATGCCACCTACCTCTCCGGCTTGTCAGGGTGAGGATCAGACGGGTGCTTTACTTATCCTTGTGATTATCATCATTGCCTACTTCACAGTATTTATTATAAGGCTCAAATGAAATAAAGCATTTTAAGGGCTTTGCCAAAAACTTTAAGTTGCCATATGAAGGTCAGCTGCTTTTATATATATATATATATATATATATATATATATTTTTTTTTTTTCCTGTAGTGCTGGGGGGATAGCCAGAACCCCGTGGAGCTCATGGTGGCCTGGGAGCCCAGGTCTTCCACTGGCTTGGTTAGGGGGGCCCAGGGATACCAACCAGTCCCTTCCTTACTGTGACCCCATGGTGCTTGGCCTTCAGACTGCTCTGTGGGGGTCTCTGTCCAGCCAGAGTTTAGCTTCTTCCCTTGGTCTTCTCATTAACTCCCAGCTATTAAGCAGTACAGTATATGGAGCACTGGACTTGGAATAGGAATGACCTGAGTTTGAATCTTGCCTTGGATGCTACTATGTGACCCCGGTTAAGTTACTTAACCTCCATGTCTGCCTCCATTTCCTCCTCTATAAAATGGGCATGATAATAGCACCTTCCTTCCGGGATTGTTGTGAAGATCAAGTTGAATGAGATCGTTTTGCAAGCCTTAAAGCATTAGACAGGCCCCTGCTTTGCACAGCATCGCTGGCGGCTGCAGGTCATATTGGGGTGTCTTGTACCCTGGCCTGGCTGCTTTGCTGCAGGTCCAGCTTCCATGGATCCCTCCATTAACGCTCCCAGCTCCCCCTTAGCAGTTACGCGGGCTGTCCTCCACCCCTGGCCCAGGCCCAGCTCAGCAGAGCTGCCTTTGGACGGGTGTCCCTTCCATGCTGGTGGCCTGGCTGCCCGCCAGGGCCCCAGCATTGGCAAGCTCAGCCTTGCCTCCTGAAGACTCTGATCCAGCTAGTGGGTAATGCTGAGCAAAGTGTTTGCGGAGCCGGATGTGACGTCCCTGGCAGGGCCAAATGTCCCAGCCAGAGGGAAACTTGTCCTTGACCCCTGCTCTGCGGACCTCTCGTTGCCTGTGGAGCTGGGTGCCGTGCAGGCACCATGTTTGGGTCTTTGGGCCTGCTGGCCCTGTCCAACTGGAAGTCCTGGTTCCTTAAGGCTTCCAACCTTCCCCAAAAGCTCCCACCCAAGTCACAGATTGAGAGGATTCTGCAAGAATGAAAGGGCTAAGAATTAGAGCTGTCCAAGGTGGAATGGACTGCCCTGGGAGGTAGTGAGGTTCCCATCACTGGAACTCTCCAGGCCATGGCTAGGTCAACTTTTGCTGGGGATTTTGCTTAAAAACCAAAAAAAGGTCAGACAGGATACATGGAGTTTCTGTGATATGGATGGTTATCATTGCCCAGAATCCTTGATTTCTTCCTGCAAAATAAGGCTCATTCTGTCCTGGCAACCCCCCACCATCGCCACCAAAAAAAAAAAACCCTTATGTTGCCATATTGATAATGCCCTCAGCCTTATTCCAACATCCAGCCTGTATTTCTTACTCCTCCTGTTCAGGTAGGAGTAGGTAAGTGGTACAGAACACCAGGCCTGGAGTTAGGAAGACTTGAGTTCAAATCCAGCCTCAGATACTTTCTAGCTGTGTCACCCTGGGCAAGTCGCTTAATTTTTGTCTGCCTTAGTTTGCTCAACTGTTAAAATGGGGGGAAGGGGCAGGGGATAACAGTACTTAACTCCCTGGGTTATTGAAAGAATGAAATGAGATAATATTTATAAAACACTTAGCACAGTGCCCAGCACACAGTAGGTGCTTAATAAATGCTTCCCTTCCTTCCTGCATTCTGCATTCTAAGAACATTTTTTTTAGGCACTTGGGGTTAAGTGACTTGCCCAGGGTCACATAGCTAGTAAGTGTCAAGTGTTTGGTCTGAGGCCAAATTTGGATTCAGGTCCTCCTGACTTCAGGGCTGGTGCTCTTTACTGCCTCTAGAATAAAAGTGGCGGCAACACCGTCTGTATATATAGATAAGAAAATGCAACATATATACAAATTAATTTTGTAGTAGTGGGCACTCTCACCTGGGGAGCTAGGGTACCAGGAGGAAGGAGAGTGTTTTAGGCATGAAGGGACAGCCCGCGTAAAAGTACAGGGACGGGAGATTGAACATTTTGTACCAAGTGGGGCAAAGTGGCTGCACTCTGAACACGTGTATCATCAACCAGGAAATAGGGGCTGGGGTCAGATTGTGAAAGGCTTGACGTGCCAAGCATTGGGGTGTACATTTTATTCTAGAGACAGGAAAGAGCCCGTGAAGCTTCTCGAGCAGGGACATGACCTGGGAAGGCAGTTTGGCCTCTGTGTGTGTGTACGTGTGTGTGTGTTGGGGGAGAGGGGTGTGCTTTACCCCCTCCCCTTCTGTGGATCCTCATGGCTATGCCAGTTATCAGAGCCCCAGGCCCATCTTCTGTTCCTTTTACCTCCTGTCTGTATCTGCTCAGAGAATCATAGAGCCAAGCCATTCCATCTTACAGACAGGAGGACGAAGCCCAAGAGAGGGCACACGGCTTGTTCCACATCATCTCTCGCCCAGAGTTGCTTGCTGGCCATTTGTTTTGGTTTCCACTTCATATCAAGACCCCCACAGTGGAGTGTGCCTACCCACCCAGGAGTCCCTTGGAATCTCAGGAACCACGAGGGTTGGGTGGCTGCTGCCCGTTGTCCCTCACTGTCCCGTCTTCTCTTTACCCCTGTCCTTCACACATTAGAATCTTGTAGAGAAGTTCAAGGTTGAGCTTGGGGGCTGGGGTGGATGCTTTGGACCCCAGGATATTGCCGGATATTCCGAGGTCTGATCGACCCCGGCACCTTGGCTTTCTCCACAGAACTGGCTGCGTTTCTACGGCTACCTCCCCCAACCCAGCCGCCAGATGTCCACCATGAGGTCAGCTCAGATCCTGGCGTCCGCCATCTCCGAGATGCAGCGTTTCTATGGAATCACCATCACGGGCGTGCTGGATGAGGAGACCAAAGCGTAAGTCTCTCTTGGTCACGGGCCCTTTGCCTCTCTCTTCCCTTCCTTTCCCTCTCCTCGAGTTGGTGAAGTCCCGTACAGAAACAGGAACAAGCAGCTCTTCAATCCCCAGGCATGACAGCCTTCCACCCAACCCCATCCACTTTCTCCTGCCTTTATCCGCTAGGCACCGTGAACAGCACCATTCCTGGTAAACCCATGATAAACCTAGCAGTGGCCGACGCCTCCTTGACGTGTGAGGATGCTTGAGCCTATCCTCTCTGAGACCCCCAGTTGTTGGTCCCTGGCCTATCTCTACCACATCCCCTTAGCCTTTATCAGGCAGGCATTGAACAGATCTGAATGAGCTGCTGGCAAATGCATAATCCAATATGAAATACTTGGAGCACAGAATAAAGAGAGAATCAGAGCCCTGCCCTCAAGGAGCATAGAGTCTGATTGAGGAAATAGAACCGGGTAGTGAGGGGGCGCCTCATGATCAACACAGTCACCCAAATAATAATTATCGAGGGGACGAGGTGCACGAGGACTGATGTCAATAGCTATTTAAAAGTGGGATCCACCGAATGAAGAGGAGGTGAAGCTAGAGGGAGCCACCACGTTGGTGAACCAGAAGCCTGATGTCCTAGGATTTCAGGGCAGCCTGGGGAGCAAAGGCACAGCATTGGTGGGGAGGGGCAGAGAGGACGTAAAGTGAGAGAGAGAGTGTGTGTGTTGGGGGTGGTAATAAGAAAAGCAACCTCGCTGGAATAGAGAGAGGAGTCAGGGGTGTGGTGGGGGAGGGGAGGGGGCCAGCAGGGAGGGCTGGACAAAGGGAGGCCAGCATTCCTATGGGAGCCTGGGCCCCCCGCTCCCTCACTTGCCAAAGACCCTGCCAGTGTGCTGCGCTCTCTGCAGGTGGATGAAGCGGCCTCGCTGTGGGGTGCCAGACCAGTTTGGGGTACGGGTGAAAGCCAACATGCGGCGGAAACGTTATGCTCTCACCGGGAGGAAATGGAACAGCCATCACCTGACCTTCAGGTAGTTTGCTGGCTCTGTCCTGTGGTTTGTGAGGGGAGATGACCCTCACGTTCAAGTGTCTCAGGCTTCTCCTTATCCCCTGGGATCCCCCGGGGCCCTGAGTCCTGCCCCTAGTGTCTCCTGTCTGGGGGGATTTCCTTTCCCACACTTCCCCTGGCTGTTCCCACCATAGCCCCCCCGTGAGAGTTCCGCCCAGCCCCAGCCCTGCACCCCACACTGATGGGAAGGGGCCTCAGCATCTCTGCAGGAGGCTGGGTCTGTGTATTCTCCCAGCCTAGGGCTGTCTCAGGCCTGCCTGGGCCCTCCCAGATGAGCCCAAAGCCCCATCGTCACCTTCCCAGCTGTTCATCTCTATTCTTCCCAAGAACCTCCAAGCCAGACTTGACCAGGACCTTGGAATTCTAGGGCAAGCATGGACTGAAAAGAGGGGCAGGCCTTATTGGAAGCATTTTCCAATGCCCCCAAGTCCTAGGGGATGAAGATGGAACCCTGGAAATAGAGGATTGGATGTGGGAATAGCCAGGCCAGACCCTGACTCATCTGCTCCCTTCCCAGTATGGGGATAGGTTCAGGAGTCAAGCACCTGAGGTCGATTATAGCTGTGGTAGATTGGCAAAAGGATCTAGGTTCAACTGCCAGCTCTGCTGAGCACCATTACCTGTGGGCAATTCATTAAACATTTCTTCCCTCAGTTTCCTCATCTTTAAAAAGAAAGGATTGTATTAGATGATCTTTCAGACTCCTCTAGCTCTAAATGTTTTGATTTAGTGCTCTCCTCCGCCCTAGAAGACTAGCACCTTACGGGTGAGCCCCCCAAAAAGAAACCAAGGTTGCAGAGAAGGACCAGAGCTCAAGATGAGGAAGAGTTAAGTCTACACTCCTGCCTAAGGGAAGTGTGGCATGAGATTGGCTGAGGGTTTCCCATCTCTGGCCCCCAGCCAGCCGCAAGAACCCCCTTCCTCTGAGTCTCTCCTCCAATAGGAAGAAGGGAATGTTTCCCTTAATAGGAATGCTTGCCCATGGGGCTATGGGAAGGAGGATCCAACATGGCGGGTCCCTCCTCCCCATCATTTCCATCATCCCTAGCATCCAGAACTACACAGAGAAGCTGGGTTGGTACAACTCCTTGGAGGCAGTACGGCTGGCCTTCCGAGTGTGGGAGCAGGCCACGCCCCTGGTCTTCCAGGAGATCCCCTACGAGGATATCCGGCAGCGGCGGCAGAAGGAGGCAGACATCATGGTGCTCTTTGCCTCTGGTTTCCATGGCGACAGCTCCCCCTTTGATGGTGTGGGAGGCTTTCTGGCCCATGCTTACTTCCCTGGTCCAGGCATGGGCGGAGACACCCATTTTGATGCTGATGAGCCCTGGACCTTCTCCAACACTGACCTACATGGTGAGGCCAATTGGCAGAGGGAAGGAGGAGAGGGTGGGGCTAGGGTGGTCCCCATCTCACTAGTGGGGAGGCAACTATGTCCTGGGTCTGGAGCCACCTCAGAGCAGCAGGTACTGGAAATAAAGGTCATCTCCAAAAGGGCCCGGTGTGTTTGACCACCTTGATTTCTTCTCACATCCATTCTGACAAATCACTTTTATGCCTGTGATCTCATTTTTCCTCCAAACACCCCAAAGGGACAGTGAGACAAAAATCATCTTTCCCTTCCACCAAGGGGAAATGGAGGTCCTGATTGGTGAAATAGCTTCCCCAAGGCTCAAAGTAGAGTCTGGAATAGGATAACGATATGTCACCAGTCTGTCACTTCATCAGGATGGGTGTCCCCTCCGTTGATGCCCAGCGGTAGACTTTCCGTGACTTGGTAGATGGTCCTTTGGAGTTTCTGTCGCCCTTAGATTCCATACTTGACGCTGAGCTTCCCCAGACTTAGCTAGGCCTATTCCAGGATGATGCAGAGGGTCCATCACTCTTCTGTGCATCACTGTCCCTTCCTCTTCCGGCTTGGTGGTACCTGACAGCACCTGTACCCCACTGGCTTAGCCTGGAGAGACCCCAGGTTCATGCCAAAGGAGACTGCAGAAGACCTTTAGTAGAGAACAATTATTTTCAGAAGGCACTTAACCTCACAGCCACCCTGTGAGCTAAGAGGGTCATTATCCTCTTCTGACACATGAGGAAACTGAGTCTCAGAGAAAGGGAATGGCTCACCCCAAGTCCCACAACTCGAAAGTGGAAGGAATTGGCCACAAGCTCAAGTCTTCCAAATCCTCCAGCAATGTCCTTCTTGCCTGTGGCTTAGTTCGTCGGATCTAATGGACACATCAGAGACCCTGGTGTATCCTCTTAAGCCCTGTTGATTGCAAACAAAGCCCTAGAAAAGAGCATGACCTCCTTCCTTTTACCAGGAAACAACCTCTTCCTGGTGGCTGTGCATGAGCTGGGCCACGCTCTGGGGCTGGAGCACTCCAACAACCCCAGTGCCATCATGGCGCCCTTCTACCAATGGATGGACACAGACAATTTCCAACTGCCTGAAGATGACCTTCGGGGTATCCAGCAGCTCTATGGTGAGCTCACTTTACATGGAGGGGTGGGCTTCTGGAGAGAGTGGGTACCCTAGGCTGTCAGGCCAGCCCTTCCTTCCTGATCCATTGATTTGCATTTCACTATTTATTTCTAGTATAAAGTTCATTTGTTTTTCCTGGACCTGGGCACATCATGCTTCCCCATTAGATTGTAAGCTGCCCTAAAGTAGAAACCATCTCTGTCTTTTTTACCTCCCCCCTCCCCCCCCCCAGTGTTTGTCATCAGGTCCCAAGCAACCCAAGTTAATTCCCTGACCATGTAGACTACAGAGTCATTATAGGACCATGGAACATAGAGTTGTAAGTGACCTTAAAGATCATCTAAAGATCTCCCTCATTTTACAGATGAGGAAACTGAGGCCCAGAGAGAGGAAATGTACTGGGGTCTTTACTCTGGGGAAAGTCAGTAGCACCAAGGATTAAAAATCTACTTTGTATAGAGGGCCTACCCACCAGCTATCCACCACCAAGGCTTCTCATTCACACTCATATCAAGGCTTGTAGAGAAGACACCTTAGACTCCCTCAGTTGGGCTTGAAGGTGGTACTTCTTTCACATCCTTCCTTTGATTCCTCCCCCCATTTCTTAGGTACCCCAGATGGCCAGCCTCAGCCCACCAGGCCCCTTCCCACAGTGCCACCCCGACGACCAGGCCGGCCTGATCACCGCCCACCCAGACCACCACCACCACCACCTCCAGGAGGGAAGCCAGACCGACCCCCCAAACCAGGGCCTCCTAGCCAGCCACGAGCCACAGAAAGGCCAGACCAATATGGCCCCAACATCTGTGACGGGAACTTTGACACCGTAGCCATGTTGCGAGGGGAGATGTTCGTGTTCAAGGTGAAGGGCCCCTTCTTCAAGCACCCCCTTCTCTCAGTCCTTTCCTTAGCCCCGCCTATACATCTAAGTACTCTACCTTCTGGAAGTGATTAGTGATGTCACGTTGATATGGGAGCGTCTGAAAGAAGCCCTTTGTTAGTGGGGCCCAGGCAAGAGAATCCCTCTGAGGGCAGGGCCTGACAGCTCAGCAGCGGAGAAGACCCCAGTTTTCAAAGGCCAGCAGACGGGGAAAGGAAAAGAGATGTACAGACACAGAGGGGAATGGCGATAGCATGGGATCTTAGGACTGGTCATGGCCTTAGAAATCACAATTTATTTCTATTGGAAAGTTTAGTCATTTTTCCTGAATGTGAGTATGTCCCACCTCTTCATTAGACTGCTTTAAAGTATAAACTTTATCTCTGTCTTCCTTGACCTGTTTATCATCAGGTGCCAAGCAACCCAAGTTAATTGCCTGACCATATAGACTATAGGGTCAGTTATAGGGTCATAGGATATATATGGACCTTTGGTCCAGCCCTCTTACTTTTTAGATGGAACCAAGAGGGGAAATAAATTTACCTTCAGTCTCTGAAGGTTTAAAAAAAGCAAGGTTAGATTTGTACCTTAGGAAGTTAATTGTATACAGAAAGTGCTTAATAAATTATTTTCATTCATCATTTAGGCACCTCACAAATCTCCTTTTCCAATTTTTTTCTTTACTCCAGACTGTCGTCTTTCTCTTCAGGGACTCCCTCTCCTCATCTCTCTTAAGCCTGATCTCTGCCCTACCCTCACCCTTTTTTCCTTCTCACTTTCCTCCTCTGTTCTCACTTTCCCATCACTTTTTCCCCTCCAGACAGAAATTCTCCTATTTCTCCTTCCATGTGATCCATACACCCTGTGGGTTAAGACTGTCATGGTGTCCCCAAAGCCTTTTCCCTATCTCACACCCCCATATTCTTTTTTCCTCTGGGAAACCAGCCCAAGGGGACACTAAGTCAGGGCCAGCTTTGATGACCCACAGAGATCTTCCTGCCACTCCCACATGTATGATGTGTATACTTCCCCCTTCTCCTCCTCCACCTCCCCCACCCAGTATAGCCTTCCTAACCCCCTGGAGGGCCAGGGGCTGGGCTGCATTGGTCACGGTCCACTCTCCGTACTAGGGCCGCTGGTTCTGGAGGGTCCGGCACAACCGGGTGTTAGACAACTACCCCATGCCCATCGGGCACTTCTGGAGGGGACTACCCAGTGACATCAGTGCTGCCTATGAGCGTCAGGATGGACGTTTTGTCTTCTTCAAAGGTGAGCCAGATGGCCCTGGGCTAGGGAGGAGGGGTGCAGGTTGGCAGCTAGGGAAGGGGCCTCTTCACCCATATAAGATCTGTGTCTGTCCTCAGGCAGGAAGAGGAGGGGAGGGGGCCTGATTTGGCTGCTGGCTGAGTATCAGCCTGGCTTCTGAGAGTCCCTACTCATGTTTTCCCCATTATGAGCTAGATGAGGTCATCTCCATCTGTAAATGTAAAGAAAGACAAAGAGAGAGAGGAGCCAGGCTTAGAGGGAAGGGAGGAAGGGAAAGTGAGGTGGGGCTTCTGACTCAGAGTAGGACTAGGGCAGGAGAAAGCAGGGATCTCTGGGGCATGGTTCAGATTTCTCTTCTTCCCTGTTCCATCCCTGTAGGAGCTGGTATTGAGATACCCAGAAGGAATTCCAACCTCTATAGCCTGCCAGAGTAGATGGAATATAGTGTGGCCCTCCTGCCTGGGGAGAGCAGAATTCAAGGCCATCCCCTTTTTCATTGAAAGCAGAAAGTACAGTATGGTTCAGGCTTGAGACTGGAGGGCCAGGCAAGGCAGAGCCCTCTTACCTGAAGACGCTGGGTCCCTTTTTTCCATCCCCTCCAATTTCTCATTCATTTCCATGATTTGTTTCTAAATCAACAACCATTTATTAAGCATTTTATGTTGTGCCAGACATGGTGTGAAACATGAAGGATACAAAAAAAAAATAGATTGCTCCTGCCCTCAAGGAGCTTACATTCTAATGAAGAAGCCAGCATTACATAAATCAGTACATCCAAGATGCATACATAGTAGATTGAAGGAAATCTCAGTGGGGAAAGTATTAGGACCTGCGGGAGGGGGTCTAAAAAATCTCCCAGAAGAAGTAATACTTAAGCTGTCTTAAAGGAAGCCAAGATTCTCTAAAATGCAGGTTAGGAGGGAGTATTCCAAGTATGGGGACACCCAGTGCAAAGGTGAGATGGGAGATAGAGTGTTGTGTGTGAGGAATAGTGCGTAGGTCAATATGATGAGATCGTGGAGGAAAGTCATATGTTAAAAGACTAGAAAGTTGGGATGGGTCCCAGTTATGAAGAGATTTCTATTAGTTCCTAGAAGTCATAGGAAGTTACTAGAAGTTATCGAGTAGGGCTGAAACATGGGCAGACCTATGCTGTAGGAAATTCATTTTGGCAGCTGTGAGGAGGTTGGATTAGAGAGGGTAGAGGAGGGAGGCAGGGAGACCAGTTAGAAGACTATTGCAGTAGTCCAGGTGGTTGGTGACAATATGGCAGTGATGGAGTGTCAAGAAAGGATGGTATGCCAGAAATGAGGTCGAGGGATAATAACAAAACTTGGATATGTGGGCAATCAGATATGTGGGGTGGGCAAGAAAGAGAAATTGAGGATGGTGCTGTGATTGTGATTGCAGACCTGGGAGACTGGGGAGGGGGGTGGCACCCTTGACGGTCATAGGGGAAGTTCAGATGAAGAGTGGGTTTAGGGGGGAAGTGATGAGCTCTCTTGGAGTTGAGGTTCCTACAGGATATCCAGTTTGAAATGGCCAAGAGATAATTGGTAATATGGGAATATAGCTTGGGAAAGAGTCCAGGGCTGGATAGATTAATCATAAAGATGACCACTGAACTCATGGGAACTTAGGCAGTCACCAAGTGAGAGAGTTTCTAGAGAAAAGAGACAAGGTCCACCCTGCATCCTTGCTGTGCCTCTACCAGCCACTGTGTTCTTCCTTTGGGTGCACAGGAAGGCTCTACCTCCACCTGAACCATAAAATTAGGAAAGATCTGAGTCATCCCTGACTCTTCCCTCTCCCCTCATATCCTATCAACTGACAAATATTCTCCTCAGAAAAAATAAAAGATGTGAGTCTAGAGATGGAAAAAGTAAATGGTGTGAGTCTTAGGAGTCCAGGCTCCTCGTTTTACAGATGAGGAAACTGAGGCCCAGAGTGATTTGGCTAAAGTCACGTAGGTAGTAGGTATCAGAAATGACATTTGAACCCAGGTTCTCAGACTAAAGAGCCAGTACCCATCCCCATGGACCACACTGTTCTCATACTCCTTCTTAATCCTTCTTTCCTTTCATGGGCCCAGCCCATATCCGGACCTTGTCCCCTTTTACCTGAACTGGCAACAATCTATTTGGACTTAGCAGTTTCTCTTCTCTGTGGCCTATCCTCCACACGCCTGCCAACATCATCTTTCTATCAGACTAGCCTTCCTGTGTCATTCCAGAATCTTCAGTATCTCTATTACCTCGAGGTACTACTATGCAGATTTCTCCACTAGGGTTTCTGCTGACTTCCCAGGCTAAAGACTGTGTTCAAGCCAAGCCAGCTCCTTTGCCATTATGGAAAAAAGCCAGCTTCCCATCTCCAGCCTCCATGTTCTTTTGCACCCACCTAGAACTCACTCCCTTCCTCACCCCAGCCTCTTGGCATCCCTGGCTTCTTTCAAAACCACCCCCCTTGCGGGCCACCATCTGTGGGAAGCCTCTCCTGATCCCCTAAGTTGTTAACATCCCCTTCCTCTTCAAATGACCGTGAATAACCGTCACCGTTTACATGTCATGTCTCTCCCGGAGCATGTCTGTAAGTGTCTTGAGGGGAAGGCCAGTTTTCCATGTTGTCTTTGTATTTTCTAGTGCCTCATGCCCAGTAGATGTTATATATTATAATGTGATATGTAATATATATATAAAATATAAATATAAAATGCTTCTTATATTGGATTGGCTTGGACTGAATGCAGGGGATGCATTTTATATTTCTGCAGAATCCTTTGTAGCGCAGGATTCTGTGCGTGTGTGCACACGTATGTGTGTGTGCGCGCGCGTGCACGCAGCAGCTGCTCAGTAAACCTTTGCCACGTGGAGGTGTTGCTTATGTACTCCTGGGCCTTGGGATGTCTCTTAGTCTGGCACATAAACGCCAAAGGCAGAAATGGTGGGCGTCCCCTTTTCCTTTGAGAGAGAGGCTCCGTTGATGGGTGGTGAGAAGGGTAGAATCTTCTACAAGCTCAGACCTGAGGGTGAGTCCTAAACAATTTACATCACTGTCTTCCTCCAGCCCCACAAAGTGCCGTTTTCTCCTATTCTTGTATGCCTCTGTTTACAGGCGATCGGTACTGGCTCTTCCGTGAGGCCAACCTGGAATCTGGTTACCCCCAGCCTCTAACAAGCTATGGCCTGGGCATACCCTATGACCGCATTGACACAGCCATCTGGTGGGAGCCCACAGGGCACACCTTTTTCTTCCAGGAGGACAGGTAAGCTAAGCAGCCGCTCAGAGGCTGGTCTGTATTCAGAGGGGAGGAGGCTCCAAGTCACCAGCCAGAGGTCAGAGCCAGGGGAAGAGGAAATGAAGCCCCTGAGCACTCCAACACCTGCCTCTTCCCCTTGGTGAGGCTTTGAAGGTTGGGCTTTAATCTTCTCAAATCTGGCCTTTGCCCTCCTACAGCCCAGATGGTGCATGGAGGTAGGGGGTGGAGGGAGAGGCAGTTCAGCTTAAACAGAATTCCAGAAGTGTTTACTTACCTTGAGATGTCTTCTCGGAAAGTGGGTGCAGACAAGGGCTTTTCTTCCTTTACAAGAGCTGGGGCTCCACATGCTAAATTGTTCCCTGAGGATTGATTGGTAGTATCCCTTCCAGAGGCTGTCAGGATATCTGAGGGTACTTTATGACCAAACATGACCATAACCGTAAGCCTCCCAGCCCTGGCTATATGCACCCACTCATCTGTCACAATGCGGGCTGGATAGGGTGGGAGCCTGGAAGCAAAAAAAGAGAGAAGATCTGGGAGAGGGGGATGGGAGTACGAGAGTACTACTAAGGGCCAGAGCATGGGGCTCTCCCACCCTCCGCACTGGCTGTCAGATGGCAATAAGGCCATGTGAGGGGGCTGTTGGTGCTCCACCATCACAAGGGCCTGGCCTCGGAGTCTTGTTTCTGACCACAGGGAGCAGTTTGCTGCCGAGCTATCCCCATTGTTTCTCCCAGCTCCTGCATTTGAAAGGGGTCGGGTTGAGGTTAGAAGTGCAGTCTGTGCAGGGTCAGTCTTAAGTGGCCGCCAAAAGAGTCCAGCCCACAACCTTGGCCTTGCCAACACTGGGTTGCAAACAACTGAGCAGACCACAAACCAAACCTAGCCCTGGTGGTTTTGAAGAGCAGCCCAAGTATCTGGCCTCCCTCCCCGAGACTCTGGAAAGGAGAGGAACACACAGCTTCATATCAACTAGCCAAAGAAGGAACTGGAATAACACCCAGTTGGTAGAGAGGGAACTCTGTCCTCTCCCTCACTTTATCCCGCTCACAGGGAGCCTTGTCTGTCTTGGAAATTCGCCCCCCTGCGCAGAGGGCTGGCATCTCAGAACTGGGCTGAGCCTATTGACAGGAGACCCAAGTTCTGGTCCAGGCTGTAGCCCTGAGGTGCCGACTTGGTGATGGACGGTGTCGAGGTTGGGCGCGTTGGCATACAACCTCGGCATCGAGAAAGGGGTGATGGGAGCAGCCTAGCAGGGCTCTGGGAACCCAGATTCTTGGTGCTGTTGACTACAGGTACTGGCGCTTTAATGAGGATACTCAGCGAGGAGACCCTGGCTACCCTAAGCCCATCAGCATCTGGAAGGGAGTTCCATCTTCACCCAAGGGGGCCTTCCTAAGTAACGATGCAGGTATGAGAAACCCAGACCCCTGTCCAGCTTCGTTCCTTCCCCATCACCGGGTGAGGACCAAACTGAGATCACATTTGTAAAAAGCACTTAGCATGGTGCCTGACGCGTAGTAGGTCCCCCGGGGTCCCAGGGAGACTGAGATTTTGGCAGCCTGGCCAATGTGGACTGATGAATGGAGTGATGTATTTGGAGTTAAGTGAACCAGACGCTTGAGGATTCATTTAAGCAGCAGAGCTAGAGGAGGCAGCTTGGGTACAAAAAGCAAGGACTGGGCAAGGGCTGGAGAGCCTGGGTTCACATCCTGTCTCTGCTGCTGACCCCCTGGGTGACTGACCATCTGTAAAATGAGAGATCTCAACTTCTTCTGCCCTAAGAGCTCTTCCGACTTTAAATCTGTGATCCGATGACCTATAGGTTTCAAAAACTCCCTCTCCCCCTGTGACCCCCAAATAGCCTGCGGCCAGAGCCACCCACCCCGTCTCACTCTGCTCCTCTTCCTCCTGCCACAGCCTACACCTACTTCTACAAGGGCACCAAGTACTGGAAATTCGACAATGAGCGGCTCCGGATGGAGCCCGGGTACCCCAAGTCCATCCTTCGGGACTTCATGGGCTGCCAAGAGGAGACGGCCGATCCCGATGCTGGGCGCCGTTGGCCCGACCTGCACCGGCCGCCCTTCAACCCTAACGGCGGAGACGGGGAGGAGGAGGAGCAGGAGGAGGACGGGGCCCACCGGAGGCCCGGGGAGGAGGATAATGAGGTGGTGGAGGATGAAGAGGGAGACTATGGGGATGATGGCAAGGGCGGCGGCGGCGGCAACCGCGTGGTGGTGCAGATTGACGAGTACACACGGACCATGAACGTGGTCATGGTGCTGGTGCCGCTGGTGCTGCTGCTCTGCATTCTGGGCCTCATCTACGTCATCATCCAGATGCAGCGGAAAGGTGCCCCGAGGATGCTGCTGTACTGCAAACGCTCCTTGCAGGAGTGGGTCTGACCGCCGAGGCCCCACTGACCCCCGCCCCTGCCCCCACTCCATTCCTCCCACACGGTGCTAACCCATAGACATGTATGTATATACTGTGTTTGTTGATGACTTCCCAGACCTGACGTTGATTTCTTCAGTCCATGGATGTGGGTGTGGGCACCCTGCCCATCACCAGGAATTCTGAGCATCCTTAAAATGAATGTTCCCTCTGCCAGCCCAAGAGGCTGGTAGCGGCCTGGAGACCCCCTCCCCTATTCCCCTCGTCTATTTATACTAAGATGTTTTTCATTTCTTTCTTCCTTTCCTCCTTCCTTCCTCCTTCCCCACCCATTTCTCTTTCTTTCCCCCTCTCTCCCCGCTCCACCCCACCCACCGCAGTGGGTGGAGGTGGGAATGGGCCCAGCCCACCTCAGTTCCCCACTTTCCTTAGGGTAGACATTCACCCTCTGGACCCAGCTCAGCTCTTAAATGTGTGGTCCTATCATAGGGTTCAGAGCACGAAGGGACCATGGTGAACATCTAATCTACAACCTTCCATTACAGATGAGGACATCAAGGGGAGTGAGGGGCAGGCCCTGATCTGAATTCAGGTGTTCTGACTTGAAATCCTGCGCTCCCTCTATTCTGCCTGTGTGAGAATTAGGGTCCTGTCCAACTCCTCCTTCCTCCTTTCCCATCCCGGGCTGAAGCAGGAGCTGAGAGGCCTTCCCTGGTCTGCTACTGCCATGGGTTGCTGCAGAGGAACTCCTTCCTTTGCTCATTCTGGGCTGATATGCAAGGAACCGAGAGGCCACTACAGGTGTCCGTGTTTGCTTTGGAGACCAGCTGCTTAGCTAGGCAGGGAGCCCAAGGGAGTCTGCCAGAGGAAAAAGCCTTGGTTTGAGTAGTTCCCCCAGGGCTGGGAAATCACCCAGCCCTGGATTTATCCCACTTTGGTGGCTGAGGGCATGACTGTGTTTTCCCGGTGGCTCCTGCTAGCTCAGTAGAAACAAAAAGATGGATGGAGTTATGGATTTGTATTTCTCCAGCCACCTCTGAGCTATGGAGGCTTAATCCATAGCATCAGAGATGTAAGGAGGACGAGGCCTGGTGAAAGCTTTGTCCAAAATGTCACCAGATTTACAAGGATCTCCCCTAAAACTAATCCCTGCCCTTCCTCCCCATCTCCTGGTAGGCACCAAGATGTCACCGCCTACCTGGGTCAGGATCTCACCCACAATCACCAAAAGAACAGGGAGAGATGTTTGTCCAGGGGTCATGGTAGTGATAGAGGGGAGAGATGCACAAGGGAAGAAGGGTGACATCCCCCCTTCTAGGCTGCTGTCCGAGGACCCTGACACTGCCTCTGCATAGCATCATTAGCACCTACCTTAGCAAAAATGATTAAGAGAGGAAGCTACCTAGTCTTCCTGAGTGAGCTCACCTCTCATGTGGGGCACAGGCAGAGGGATTCTTAACCTTTTGGGTGTCATGGACCCCTCTGGTGGTCTGGTGAAACCTCCGGGCCCTTTCTCGGAATCATCGTTCTGAATTCATAAAATAGTTGCGTATGGGATTACAAAGGAAACCAACTCTGTTGAATAGTTATCAGAATACATAGCTTACAAAGTTTATAGTCCCCAGGCTAAGGACCACCCTCTCTCTACTACCACCCATGCCCATCTAGGGGATCACTGTCTTTTCCCTCCATCCATCCCTGTCATTGAGGGTGCCTTCTCCGCCTCTGGAGGGAATTCCTCTTTTGTAAGAATTCCAGATCTGTATAGAATTTAGTTCTAGAAGGGACCCTGCAAACAATCTACTCCAATACCTTTACCTTACCACAGGGGTGGGGGGAAGGGTGATGTACAGTTACAGAGCTAGAAAGCAAGAGAGGATTCGAACCCAGGCCCTCTGGCTCCAAGATCACTCTGCTGCCAGAGGTTCTCCACCCAGGGTCTGTGGGGGTCCATGGATAGATTTCAGGGAGTCTCCGAACTCCAATGGGGAAAAAATTACTAACTTGTCTTTTTCTTTGTAATATTCACTAGTTTTATGCCTTTCAAAACATGATTCTGAGAAAGGGGTCTGTCTGAAGACTTCACCAGGCTGCCACTTAAGGGGTCCAGGGCACAAAAGAAGGTTCTGGAGCTCTGCTCTACCACAGAGGTTTACAGTTAGAGCCTTCAGAGTGACAAGTCCTAGGGATATATCATGCCTTGGACTGGTCTCCCTTTCCGTGAGGACAGTGACAACAGCTTCATCGGCCCAGCTCCGGCCATGAGAGGAGAGTGTGTGCTCAAACCCTCCATTTCCATGTTATTTGGAAGAAATGGTGCTCCAGAACCCTGGCTAAAGCAGAAATTTAAGGGAGGAGCTGGAATCTGGCCTACACGGCTCATCCACCCTTCTGGCCTGTTGGAATGGCTTAGCTCTCAACCGTAGTGGGAGCATATTGAGGGAAGGGGGTTGGGTGACACAGTCCAGTCCTTTCATGCACACACCCCTTTCTTGCAGACAGATGGCTGCTTTGGGCACTGAGTCTTGGAGTAAAGGCTTTGGTTACCTGCCCTGCCGGTGTTTTCCTTCACCTGGTCTCTCTCCCAGCACTAGAGGAAGCAGTAGGGCAGAGTGATCAGGGATGGAGGAGAGGTGTTTGATTTGGGTTCATAGGTCAGTCTGAGTAGGTACTGCCACAAGAACAGCAGGGGTTTGATGGAGTTATTGAAGATGACACTCCAAGCTGTAGCAGCTAGAAGGAAGCTGTCTGGGGACCTAGAGACCCAATGCCATCTTCAGGCCCATGGGAATCAGAGGGGTGGTTGTTGGGGTCTGCAGGAAAGGTATAGAGGTGATAACATTGGGATGCTTCTGCTTCTGGGTGTGCATCTGGGAAATGGGTCACTGGGGAAAGAAGGGGAAGGGAACACAAGCAGTCTTGAGAAATAGCTCTTCCTCCAGCTGATCAGGGATGGAAGAGCCAAATGGAAACCCCAAAGTGCTGTCTCTGCCTCCTCCCTCCCAGAGCTCTGCCTGGTGGCTCCCACCCGCCTGCAGCCAGGGCCATACTGGGGAGGGACAGCAGTAATTGGGGCCAAGTCCCAGGGGGGGTCCTCCCCTCCTGCCTTGACCTGCTTTGCATCTGCTCTCTTCCCCCTCCCTACATCCCCATTCCAAAATAAACAAGAGTCTCCAGCCACTGTGGGAAACGGTACTGGGAAGCTGGGCTCTCTGATCTCTTCCTTGGCCCTCTTCTCTCCGAGCTGCCCCCTCCCCATCTTCTCTCCTTTGTAGGCCTTGGCAGAAGCTGGACTGTATCCTCCTAATTCCTGGGGCCATTAAGTGAATAGGGGACAGCTCAGAGATTTTAGATTTGGAACAAATCCTTTCCGGGCAACCTCAACCACCCCCACTTCCTTGTCTTTCTCCCCTTTTATTTTGGCCGCTTTTTAACCCTAGGCAGAGGCAAAGCTTGTAAAGCCCCATCTCTCCCCACCCACCCAAGGATTTTCTTCTGGAGGACACTGACCATATCTCTGACCCTTGCCCCAGCAGACAGTGAGATCCCATGGCAAGGGTTAGATGACCCCATGTACATTTTTGTAAATAATATGCAGCTTATTAAATTGTACATATAGCTTCTGACAGGTGTGGCTTGCTTTGTGATGGGGGAAGCATCGCATTGTATCCTAATTGGAAGGGCCTACCTTAGAGATCAAGTTGCTACAGCAGAACACAGGCCCCTTTCTCTTCCCACCCCTTTACTACCCATTCCAAGTGGGGTGGGCTTCAAGGAAAAAATAGCTTGAATTGTTCTAGCACTTTGCTTTAAAGTTTACAAAGTGTTTTCCTCATGACAACCCTGTGGTATAGATACGTGTGAGTATTGTTATCGCCCATTTTACAGATGGGGAAAAACTTGAGACTCAGAATGAAGTTATTTGCCAGTGACGCAGGTGTCAGAGCAGGGTTTGAACCCAGGATTTCTGACTCCAAAGCCAATAGTTTTCCCCCTGCTTTCGCACCTCCTAGGTTTATTTGTTTTTGGCTTTTTTCCTGGCTCCCGCCTATGGGGGTTCATTTCTATTAGAAGGGAAGCCTCAGGCCTGAAGGTTGAATTTGGCCAGGAGGGTTATGCCTGATGCAGAAAGGGCCCAGATATGCAAGGGCCAGGTTGGACTTGAGGCCTGGCCAGAGAGCCAGGGGCCAGTGAGAGCTCCGAGCCCCTGACTGCTCTTTGACCCTGGGGTGAGGAGGAGGAGGGGGAAGGAATGTGTGATTCTCAGTTATTTTCACCTTCCCCATGGGAAAGGACAGCTTCTGGCTCCATTCCCCATCCCAGTCTAGGAGTGGGAGGGAGCCTCGCTGTGGAAACAAGGCTAGAGCTGTCCCTGATCCCCTCCTCACTTCATCCCGTCACTCTAGGCCCAGCTTAGCGCCTTCCCCAGTCAGTCTGAGAACCCAGCCTGGGTGGAAGCCAAGGATGGGGAGGAGATAGAGTCAGGACAGACGGAAAAACTGTTCTGCTTGGAATCCTGCAGGTGCAGGCCTGTGGTGGGAGAAACTAGGGCTGGCAGGGAGCCCAGGCCCTCCTCTCTCCACCCCAACCCTTTAATTGGCTTTCCCAGAAGGAACTTTACTCTCTCTCTCCTTCCCCCACCCCATCTCTGTCTGCCTTCCTTTGGATATATGTCTCTTTTACTGTGAAACCAGAGTGATGAAATTTGATTGGAAAAGTCCTCATCTTTTTTTTTTCTCTCACCCTCCCCCCTTTTTAGCTCCTACCTCCATTTTTCTCTGTTGCTACCCCTTCTCTGCTGTGGGTAAAGGGCTCACTTAGGGAGGGAAAACACAATGAAAAAAAATTGCATTTATCTGGTCCTTGAGGCTCCAGAGATGTGTGTTCATTTTTCCTGGTCTTCCTTCTCTCCCAGCTTCATCCCTGCCTAGATTGGGCATCCATTCCTTGAGCAATTTCTCATGTGTATGTTGGTTGTGTTTTCTACAATCCATGCTGGTCATGATTCAAGGCTCCGTAATAAACCTATGAACAGCTGTGGTTCGGGGTTCCTGTGTGTCAAAGGTGTTTCTCCTACGCCCGCCACTGAATGAAGTATGTCTAAGATGGAAGATTGGAGTCCAGTTGTGGGGAGCTGTGAACACCAGGCTGAGAAGTTTGCTTTCAGTCTCACAGTCTGGAAATGTTTGACCCGATAATCGGATCTGATGTGGGCCACACTCCTAAGCTGGTGTTTATCCCCCTGCCTGGGAGATTCTCCTGAAACACAGCTTCCCTCCCTGTCTCTAGACAGTGTGGTAGGCATGGCAACGGGCTTTGCTTTGGGACCAAGATGGGGACTCAGGACGGAGACAGCTCCCCATCTTAATGAGTGTGATGACCTCGATAGATAAAACCCCAGAACAGGGATTCTTAACCACGTGTTATAGATCCCACGGGTTTCACAGAGTCTGTGAACATGGGTGGGAAAACAATTCTATCTTTATTTCGAAAGAATTGGCTTTCTCTACAATCCCATGTATTTTATTTCATGTATTTAAAAACACTAACATTATTCTGAGAAAGGGTCCATGGGCTTCAGCTGACTGCCAAAGGGGTGCATAACCCACAAAAATAATTAAGAATCCTTTTAAGTGACTTTCAAATGTAGACTGTTAAGAACATTGAATAGTAGTGCTGGAAGAGACCACCTATGAACTAGTCTAGTCGAACTTGTTCCATTTATAGATGGGGAAACAGACCCAGAGAATGCCCCAAATCAAAAATTAAGATTCAAACACAGGACTCTTGACTCAGCCCTATGGCCACTTCCTCAATCAATCAGAGGCTAATATTTTAATACCAGTTGACATTTATATAGTACTCTGCGATTTACAAAGCACTTTACATACATTACTTCATCTTGTTGGGAAGCTTCTCTCTACTTAAATCCTAAAAGCCAATCTCTTTCCCCCAGCTCCTTCCAGGCCATCCTAAGCCTTGGGCTTAATGGGGGTGATGACTGAGGTGGAAGATAGGCTCCCACTCGCAGGGTGAGAGAGGGCCCAGGGACAAAGGGTGACGATCATCCGAAAGCCCTCCTTCCTTGCCTTTAATCTTTTTCTCAGGAGATCTATGCCTTTGGGAGAGACTTGGCAGGGGACATGGCTTCTCAGGAAATCATGTCAGGAGCCTCCCCCTGGCTTGTCAGTCTAAAATTAGGCCACAAAGAAACAATACGGTGGAGGGGAGGATCTAGGTGAGGACCAGCCCATTTCTTCCACTTTCAGGATCAAGCAAAGCCTTTGTCTGCAGAGGGACTGGAGATGGGGGTGGGACCGGGAGGGGGAGGGATTGTCTCCATGGTGCCCCAGAGAATGCTGAGCTCCTCCGGGTGAGAAGCCTGTCACCCCACTGCAAGAGCAAGCAGGGACTGCAGATCTAGCTGGGAGGAGGAGGGGGGAAGTTTCCTGCTCACCAGTCTCAAGCCAGACATGTCAGAAGGCTGGCGTGCCAGAGTCGGGGGCAAGGGGGCGTCTCGGAAGGAGCTCCAGGGACTGCAAGGCAGGTCGGGGAGGGGGAGGGGAAGCCGGGCTTCCAGAGGGAGGGAACCTGGCGACTCCAGTCCTAGAATAGGAGTAGGCACTGCCCCAACCTCCTCCTCAGCTGGTTCCTTTGTCCAGTGCCCTCACCCCACTTCTTCCCACTGTCCTAAACAAACCGGACAACAAACATTTCTGAGCCAGCGCTAGACAGCTCAGTGGATAGAGCTCTGGGCTTGGAGTCTGGAAGACCCAAGTTCAAATGTGGCCTCAGACACTTACTGGTTGTGTGACCCTGGGCAAGTCACTTAACTGTTTGCCTTAGTTTCCCTATCTGTAAAATGATCTGGAGAAGGAAATGGTAAACCACGTATCTTTACCAAGAAAACCCCACAGCCAGTATTGGCTTGCTGTGGTCCATGCCATAGACCCTATGGGGTTACAGAGAGTGGAACTCGGCTGAACAACCACAGAGCCAGACGCTGCCTGGGGAAACAAAATAAGTAAAAAGAAAGACTGTGTTCACCCTCAGGGAGTTTACATTTGAATGGGGAAGATACAGAAAAAAGGGAGCTTGAGAAGAGGGCAGGAGGAGAGGGGGAGATGGTGGTGAAGTCAGGAGAGTCAGAAACACTGCCAAGAGGGGAATAAGACCCAACCACCCAGGGCCCATCCCCAAAATGGAGAGGCTAGGAAGAAGCTTGTCCATGGGAGAAGTGGGCCAACATGGCAGAGGGATATTCTAGGGTGAGAAGGCAGTTGAGTCATGATGGCACTAACCTCACTGTGGGTGGGGTGTGGAAATCTGACCATGTAGCTCAGTTCTGATCCAGAAGTCCTGAAAAGCACCTGGGGGATTAAGGTGGGAGCTATAGTCTTTAGCCACCAAACTCTTCCAAAGCTTCTAACCCTAATCAAATCCTAGCCCCTCATTTTCCTGAGGAAATGGAAATCCCCAAAGATTTAGTGACCTGCCCAAAGTCATGCAGATGTTAAGAAATCAGTCAGAACGCAGGTGCCCAGTCCCTTCAGCCTGCCATCTTCTCTCCTACAGTGGCCAGCAGCCAAGCACCTTCAGCTGTCCCTGTCCCTAGCCCCTGGCCACTCTGACCCTGGACTTTGCGAGGTTGCTGACAGCCACAGGGGCATAAAAAAAGAATCAGGCCCCAGCACCTTTATTAGGCCCTCCTCATCTTTCAAAGGAAGGGAGGGTAATTGCTTTGAGGCTTGTTACCAAAAACAAAAGTTTCTTCCATGCCTGGATAGCTCTGACTGGGGTGGGGGGAGAGGGGGAGGGAGGGGAGGTGACTGCTGGACAGACATTGACCTGGGCCCTGAAGCCACTTTTGAAGGTAGAGTACTGGCCATGGGTCTCAGCCAGATGGCGTCAGCCGTGTCCTTCACCACCTCACCACCCACTGCCTCAGTGGGACCCTGCTAAATATAAGGTCCATTCCTGCCATTTATAGATCTGGGCATTCTGTCCTGAGTGACCCTCCTCCTCCCTTCCTGAGCTGAGATTCCTGAAGAGTAATGAGCCCTTCCCCGAGGAGCTGCCCCCTGGGCCGGCCTGCCTTGGGAAATGGATTTGGCAGCCCCAGAAGACGCTCAGGAATAGCTGGAGCCTTATGACCAAGAGACCATCCTCCAATTTAATTCATGGCGGCAGAGTCAGCTTGGTAGTTAAGCTAGAGAGCTGGCCTTCAAGTCTTGGATTCACATCCCCCATCTCTGACATACTGAATGTGTCACCCTCGGCAAGTTATTCATCAGTGCTCTAAGCAACTCATCAAAGAAAGGTGCCAACCTGCATTGGTAGAGGGATTTCCTCACCTGGGAGTTCCTTGTACCAGTGAGATCACAGGACTCTCCCCAAATCAGGGCCGTATGCTATTGTGCTCCATACATGCCTGAAAGACTATCAGATGCCTGCCTTATAAAGTAGGATAAGGAATCTCATTTTTCTTCCACGTCACGATCCCCTAGGGACTTCAAGTTAAGTCCATTGGTATTTATTAAGCACCTACTGTGTGCCAGGCACTGTGCTAAGCACTAGGCAAAGATAGATCCTGCCCTCAAGGAGTTCCAAGTATAATGGGGGAGATGAGTTATCAACAGGATAAACTGGAGATAATGAACAGGTAAGGCACCGGTATTAAGAGGCATCAGGACAGGCTTCTTGTAAGACAGGGTGTTTTAGCCAAGAACTGAAGTAAGCCAGGAGTAGGATACGAGTAGGAAAGAGAGTTCCTGACTTGGGAACAGCTAGTGAAAAAGCAGTTAGGAGTCTGAACACCAAGGAGGCCAGAGTCGCTGGATCACAGAGGATGCAGAGGGAAATGGACACTGGAAAGCAGAAGGAATACCAGTCATTGGCTTTAAAAGCCAAACAGGATTTTATTTTTGCTCCTGGAGCTAACAGGGAGCCATTGGAGATTATTGAATAGGAGAGGGACATCATCAGACCTGTGCTTTAGGAAGATCACTTTAGCAGCTGAATGGAGGAGGGACTTGAGACAGGCAGAGCCTCCAGCAGCTACTGCAACAATCCAGGTGTGTGAGGACCTGCATGGGTGGTAGGGGCAGGGGGGTGTCAGAGCTGAGGAGGGGCCATGTACAAGAGAAGTTATGAAAAAGTAAAATCAACAGGACTTGGCTATTGATTGTATATGGGGCAGTGAGAGAGAGTGAGGAGATGAGGACCACACCTCAGTTTTAAGCTTGGCTGGCTGGGATAGTGATGGTGCCCTCACTTACCCTGGTAGTACCAAGAATTTAGGAAGGGGGGGGATTTTGGTGGGGGAAGATAACGAGTCCGGTTTTGGACACGTTGAGTTTGACATCCCACACTTGATTCTTAATCTAAGCCCTCCCAAATCCCTAAGTCTTCTTTTCTCCAGGCTAAAGACTGCCCCAAACCAGTTCCTCCAACTGACCCTCAGATGCCTTGATCTCAAAGCCTTTCACCATCCTGTTTTCCCTTCTTTCTAATTTTCCAGCCAATCAGTGACCTTCCTAAAATGCAGTGCCTAGAAATGAACACAATAATCCAGACATAATCTGAGTAAGACAGTGCAGAGTGTGACTATCACCACCATCCTCCCCCCCCATTCTTGGAATCCCATGTATAATGTAGACTAATAGACTAACTGTTGACTCTTACTGAGTTTGTAGTTACTCTGACCCCCTAGATATTTTTCTGACGGACTGCCCCCATTTTGTTCTTGGGAAGTTGACTTTTCGAGACTTTATGTATTATTTCTACAAAATTTCATTTTATTGGATTCAGCCCGAAGTTCCAGTCTATGAAGATCTTTTTCTGAGGGGGACGGGAATCCTGACTCTTGTCTTCCACTGTGTTAGCTATCTCTCTCAGCTTTGTATCATGTACTATTCTATCTTTATCCAGGTCATTGATGACCATGTTAAAGAGCACTGGGTCAAGGCCAAATTCCTGGGAGTGTATGGGTGTGCAGGAGGACCAGCACCTCTGATGGGAGGGCTTGCTGAGTCCTTTTC